CGGTGGACAAACGAATGCAATAATGATTTTACCAATATTCGCATTTAAGGTGCCAACTTCACAAAGCAGCTCTGTAATGTTGAAATCTCTAAATGCGAATTAATTGCCGGGATCATATATATGTATATATAACTTATTTAAAATATAAACACGCGCGATATATTTTAACATATTTGTAAAAAAAATGGGGTAATATATATCTTTAATGTTAATACTTTTAAGCTTAATAATAAACATCACGCGCATGGAAGTAAGCATACATATATGTAGTTGCAGGGAGGAATATTTATTCTGATCCACATTTTATGTAGCGCGAATACGATTATACGAACCGCGAATATCTACTTACCATCAGTCTTGAAAAGTATATGCGTTATCCTCAGAATAGTGGATCTGGCATGTAGTTCACATCCACTTTTGCAGTGGGCAGTAGTGCGCGGCAGTATTTTGTGGTTACAGGTTTTAGGTCGTTATGTCCTCTCTCAGGTTTCTCTCTGTCTATGTCCATGTCTCGAACTTGCTAAACGTTATGGAATTTTGTATGCGGCAGCCCTTAACCCGAATCTACAATAGATATTTTAAGCCTTAAGCCGTAAGAAATTGACCAATTACCGTCAAATACGAAGAGAACAATTGACTGTAATTCGTTCATTTTTTTGGCATAAGCTTAAAAATCTGTAGATCCGGAGTTATTCCTTCTATTGTAGCTACACCTGTGGCTACACCCTAATGACAGGTGATTGTGTTTGTGTTATATATACTTGTCGCGTGACTTTACTGCTGCTATGTTCGCCACTTTGAAGAATAAGATACGCGAGGAAATTGGCAGTGACGTGCCTACTGTTGTCAAAAATGTTGGAAGTATACGCAGCATTAATTCTAAACATATGTCGCAGGTAAATACAATGTTGTTGAATATTGTCGGTACACATTTTGGTAATTATCTAGAAGACATTTCTCGATTTCAATTTTAACGAAATTATGCTCATTTAACACATTTTTGGATAAAATGAATGAATCTGTCAGTAAAATGTTGTGCTCATTCCCATGAAGCAAGATATTAATCGTTGAAGTTGATTATTGTTAGGTTAGGAAATCTGTCATATGAAAATGGCATAAATGGTTATACACAAATCTGTTTTATAATCACAAATTCTCTACTTTAAAAACAAATTCTCTGCTTCAAAAACATAAATTTCCTGTTTTAAAAACAAATTATTTTGTATATAATTGTTGTTTTTACAATAGAGAATTTGTTTTCAAAAAATTTAGAATGCGCATGTTATCACGAAACTTGATAAAAATATAATAATCATTTAATTTGCTTTCATTTGAAAGAACCTGGTAATAAAGCGTGACAGTCTGCTTCACGAACCAAGTTATTAAACGTTAAAATTGACTACTTAGGTTAAGAAAACTGTTATATCGACGATACGTAGCGACATGTATAATATACACATCCACATGTGTATACATGTGTTATGTATTAAATCTTTGCCTTACTAAATGAGTCTACAATATACTAAAAATAATGAAAATTGATTCGATAGATCAATAATAATTAAATAATAAATAATCTAGATAATAAAAATTAAAAATATCAATCAACATGATATTTAAGAACCAACCGTTGAACTTATTACATGAAACAAATTATTTCAAAAATAAATACAGTTCAATCATACCTTTTAATAAAAGTCTACAAATTTCTCTAATTCTTATTGCAATCTGTTTACAATTATTAGTTATTTCGAATTTTTTAAATTACCATCAGATGAAGTTCGTTATATTTTAAAGGTGAAACAAACAATGAGACAGTAATAAAAAGAAATATAATGGTAAGGGAACAAAATGGAAAGAGAAGAAAATATGAGTTAGTGAAAAGAGGAAGAGAAAAATTAGGAAAGGAATAATCACTATAAAATAGAGAGATAAGAATTAGAAAAAGGTTTTGTTCAATCCTGTTATTTGTCAATACTGTTGTTTTTCTATGTATATCATCTCCGAGATCAATCTTTTATTATAAGATGGTCATATTGTGTGTGTGTGTATAAGGTTTTAACTTATACATCCCATTTAAAATTATGACCATACATCAAACGGTGAGATATTATTAATGGCCTGCTTTTTTTTATTAATATCACTTACATGTTCAGTTATTCTGGTTTTTAATTGCTGTTTGGTTTGCCCTATTTATGTCGCATCACAATCTTGACAAGAAATCTTATGAACTACTTCTTGATACAACATATAGTTTAAAACATCTTTACCATAAAATATATTTTTTTAAAGTGTTTGGGATTGGAAACGCTATTTTGTTATTTATATTAGCCGCAATTGGAAAGAAAGACTCAGAGATTATAATTTGTACGTAAGGTAAAGTATTAGGTCGATACAAAAGTTCTTGCCAATTTTTTAAAAATTATAATACAATAATAAGAAGATCGGAACATTATATATTAATCGAAATATTTTCCATCGTTTTCCATGACTTTTTTTCATCTTTACGGCAGCATATGGATATGAAAAAAAGAAATCATTCTTTGAGGCGATCCAATAATCGACTCATTTCCGTATATCTTCAGTATTTGAGAAGCGCTCATCAGATAAGCCGTATTACATCGATTTAAACAGATAATAATCAGAAGGGGCAATGTCTGGTGAGTAAGCTAGTTGTGGGAGAACATCCTATTGCAGCTCTAAGAATGCTTCCTTGGTTTCCTTAGCAACATCTGGCCTGTTATTGCCAGTTTAGGTAATTCATATAATGGCATCCATTTTTCATACTTCTAGATTTTTTTTCGTTGCATTTAAACGGTGAACAATTGTTGAATAATGGACTCCCAGTTGTATTACAAACTCACGAATCGAATGGATTGAATCTTCATTAAGCAATGCTTGCAATTCATCCTCTCTTCCACAGTTGCAGGATATCCAGAGCGTTCTTTATCACTGATATTGAAATCACTATTTTTAAATCATTTAAACCAATTCGTACACGTTTCAATGGCTATAATATTTTCATATGTATCATAAATTATCTTGTATGTATCATAAATTATTTTGTATCAGCAACACTTTTCTTTTGGTGAAAACAAAACGAAAGACAGTGACGAATATGCTCTTTATCTGACTTCATTTTTAATCGTAATATAATGTATATAAGGTTATATTTTTTAACATCTATGGCTTGTCGTGCACATCTGTAATGTAGAGATGTTAATACCATAAACATTTCTGTTGATAAAGTCGTACTAATTAAGATATATGTAGATATATTTATTCGCATCGGCAAGAACTTTTGTACCTAATATTTTAATCGTGGAAAAAGAATTTTGTTCTGTGAAACTACTACTAAGAAATAGAAAAGAAACAAAAACGACGAGACACTAGCTTTATCGGCAGATGGCTTCAGCTCCGTTAAAAATAGTGACAAGAAGCCTTACAGTAAGGGCTGATTGTTCCATCTTTCGGTAAAGTTTACCCGTTAGGTAAATCTGGCAATTCGCGCATGTGATTGGGTAATCTTGTTACTTACCTGACAGGTAAACTTTACCAAAAGATGGAACAATCGGCCCTAAGGGTGCGTTCAGTCATTATGCTCAGATAACTCTTGGGTACATTTTTGCTATAATATATGTAACGTAAACTATAACCTAGAGTTACCTAGGTGTGATTCCTGAACGCAGTCTAGATGTATTTGTATGTATTGAAACAATAATCAAATATACATTATAATAAACGTTTTGACCTTCTCATTTTATCGAGTTATCATCAGTATTATTTCTTAAGAGATTTTGATTGTACACTGGTATGCACTAGTGTATATTAAAATCGATGTACACAGTAAAACGTTGATGTTTCAAATTTTTTATTATTTTGTAGCATGTCTCTTGTAACATTCGGAAATGAATTTGAAATAGTAAATAAGTATTTTCTATATAATAAATTACATTACTATGATTAATCAAACCCACAAAATAAACTATTTTTTATTGGACATTTTTCGCACAATCTCTTAAACACAATTTTAAGAGATTGCTTTGCTCCCTTTTTTAATGTCGTTATCGCAAATTCCTTGATTGTTATTCCTGCTAGACGTAAAACTTCTGATATTTGGAAAATTTAATCTCTGCTTATGTTCATACCTTTCGTCGTAGACCAACCTGAATTCTGCGCTTATTTATTGATGAAACTTTGGATCTTACTCGGGAGTTACGTCATAATAATTCCGATGCGTACTTTATTTTATTTTCCCATACAATTTCTTCACAGACATTAGATCGTTGGATGAAGTTAGAATAGCAAGCAGCAAACTTATCAAACTTCTCTTTAGTCTCCTTAGACGATTTGCCTTTTATAAAGTAATGTTTGATCAACACACTAAATTTTCTTTTATTTATTTTTTGGAAATCACTCGACTTCCTCAATTCAAACGAACACCACACAGAGAAATAGACTGATCTGCCTAAAACTTGGTGTGCGTTCTTTCAAGTGATGCTACTAACTGAAAATAACCTTGATACGTACCAATGGTGCTATCTTTCTGACTTTACACGAATTTTTGGAACTAACCTCGTATTAAATATATCGTTATACTAAAAATCGATGGTGAACATTTGGCGCTTCAGAAATTCGTGTCTCAGTCGAGACACAAAAATTGGGAAATGGTCGAGAACTTTTCGAGAACACAGTTCGCTCTAAAGCGGGCATGTGTACATACAGAAAAATATTACATAAATATTACTTATTTCGAGAAAATAATGTCTATTTTTAAATTATATCATCAAGAAAATATTCTTTATAAAGATAATTGTTACTCAAAAAAGATTAAAAATTATGTCTTCTTTTATAACACTAAAATGATGTTTTTCTGCATGTACCAACACGAATAATAATCGGCATGTGATACATGGTTGCGAGTCAAGGAATAATTTTTGTCATTTCTATGACAAGGAATTGATAAAGCGCTATTTTTACACCACGTTGCGGTAAATAGCATGGTGCACTTTTTTTAAGTGCTATCCTCAGTAAGTTTAACTCTTGCCTTTTAATGCACCAAATGTTTGAAGTGCCTTCCTTGTTCTCGTAAACAGATTTCGGCTCTTCGAGTAACGTTGTCGAGTGCGTCGTGCGATGCGCTTTCTAAACCAATGCCATTCTCCACTTAATTTTTATAAGAAATCACTGAGGACACTCCTCTACAACATATCTAAAGGACATTTAAATCGTTGAGGTGTAATTTAAAATCAATATTTACCATATGTTTATATGTCGATTCTAAAAAATTATTAAATTTGACAATATATGATTTCGCTGCATTAAGGTTTCACATAACACCACTTTAAGCGATTTGTGTCGCAATAGTTGTATTTACAAATTTAATAGCAGCTGCGGATTTATCCTCACAGCTATGAATGAAAAATCTAAAATCTATTTCAATATATTCATATATGAATGACTTATTTTTAATATATGATAGATGTTTTCTCCATCTTAAGCCGGTATCCATTTTTACACTAACATACTTTATCACAGAGGAAAAAGGAATCGAAATATCACCCAAAAACAATATTATCTGGCATTGTAAATTTTCTAGTCCAATGAAAAATTACAAATTGGATTTTGTTAATTGATAAAGGTAGCGTATATCCAACTTGTTAATATCATTAAAAAAGATTGTTAAATTTATTTATTTCCTGCGAGCAGGAAATCTACTCGAAAAGATTGTTTGACAAAATCGTCAGCATATTATAAAAAATAAGAAAAATGATCAACATAAAATTTAGTATGTCATTATTATGTATATTGGAAAGGGGAGAGAGGACTTACAAGGGAAGTGGCTAAAGTGATAATCACAAATTGATACAAAATATATATCATTGGAAAGGTCTTGCCGAGTAGAGTACAACTGTGCAATATTTCGCTTGAATGGCGCCTCTAGAGGGCATTATGTGTAATAGAAGTTATTCAATATGTGCCTAATGATAATAAGAATTTCGCTCACACCTTCACCAACCTCTACCCATCGCACCCCCTCCACCTCCCCCTCCTCCCCTTCTCCACCCCTCTCCCTTCCCACTCCTTTTCGCCGTTTTTCACTCTCTTTCGTTATATAATATTTTAAAATCAATTTTAATTTAAAATTTTAAATGATTATCTAATAATAATATATAATATATTACGAAAAGTAACTGATATATTATTAATTAAAGATACCAGCTCAAAGTGAATATTTTTTATGTTATGTGCAATAGAAGTAACACAGTGTGTACCTAATGATAATTAGAACAAAAAAGGATTCTCAAAAATTTAAATCTTTTTATCTAATAATAATATATTACCATGAAAAGTAACTGATATGTTACTAATCAAGGTGCCAGTACAAAGTAAACATACATAAAGTGTATGTAACTTTCGGCCGAATTTCGAATCGCCTCAGCCTTCCGCTGTCCCCCTCACCTCATCGCACGCGGTCCAAATGCCGCATGAGCGACATTTGATCATCGCAAACAATACTAATATTAATTGAAAACCGGTTCTTAATATACTGATCAGTCAGTGTGAAAACAGAAAGTCAATTAATTAAATTTAGTCAAAGGTATAGAATGAATGAAAGCAGACAATCCACAAAAGTCAAAACGACTTATTACTGTATATGTATAGCATTGACTGACAAAGCTAGAAGTAATCACGCTCGGCCTCTGAGGCTATCCTCGGCACTCACGTCGGCAACTGGCGTCGGCATGGGCTCGGCACTGCACCCAACCAGAAAATGAAGTCACAATGACATCAAAATGACATCAAAATGACTTTTAATGATCACTCAAAGTCATTTTGACATTATTTTGATATTATGATGATTTGTTGTTCTGTTTGGGTGGCGTCGGCACTAGCCTAGGGCAGGCGTCGGGATGTGCATAGGCATTGGCGTCGATACTGGTCTCGGCACTGGCGTGCGGACCGCGGCGTCGGCACAACGGCGATCATATTACTCTGCTTCTCTTTCGGTAAAAGTGCATAAAAAGGGAGACCAGCTATGACCTTGACCTTGACATATGTTGTCAAGGTCATAACCCTGAGTGACCTCCAACACGATACTCGAGCGACATTTGATCTGCGCGCGGTGAGGTGAGGGGAACAGCGGAAGGCTGAGGCGATTCGAAATTCGGCCGAAAGTTATATACACTTTATGTATGTTTACTTTGTACTGGTACTTTGTACCTTGATTAGTAACATATCAGTTACTTTTCGTGGTAATATATTATATATTATTATTAGATAATCATTTAAAATTTTAAAGGTTTTTGAGGATGTTTTTTTGAACACGGCTTGACCCTTTCATTTTTAATGATATGATTTTTTTAGGATGTCACTTATTTTTTATAGTACAAATATATAAAAAATATATATGAAAAAAATATTTAAAATTGATTTTAAAATATTATATAACGAAAGAGAGTGAAAAACGGCGAAAAGAAGGAGTGGGGAGGGGACGGTGGAGGGGGTACAATGGGTCGAGGTTGGTGAAGGTGTGAGCGAAATTCTTATTGTCATTAGGCACATATTGAATAACTTCTATTGCACATAACGCCCTCTAGAGGCGCCATTCAAGCGAAATATTGCGCAGTTGTACTCTATTCAAGACCTTTTCAACGATATATATTTTGTATCAAATCGCAATTATCACTTTAGCCACTTCTCTTATTAATATGTATGCTAAGCCTTGTAGTAATCCTCTTAGTACAATCTGTTTGCTTGTAATTTACCTAACTCGAAAAAGTTAACTATTCTTGTATACACACACTGAGTATATTTTTTTAATCAAGGTTTTATTATTTAAAAGGGACATTATATCTGTTGATTTTGGTAGTACATTCAATATTACTAGTTGAGAAATGTGTAGGCAAGAGTACTAACAAATCGAATCGTAAGTAGTAATAGGTTTATGATTTAAGAAATTTTCTCTCTTTCTCATTCTTTCGTAGTTTTTAAAATCACACTCTTGTCATTGTATAAAGACATGGTATCCCTCTCCCGCCACGTTTAACGGGAAAGGCATATACTGATTTTCTAAAGAATGCGTTGCTCGCCTTTCTCGAAAACGCTCTTGAACGGGAGAAACCCATTTTCTATCATGACAAGATTTCTGTCCAATTTTCACAGCAGGTACGCAATATTTTAAACACGCGTTATCTGGATAGATGGAAGAATCGACGTGACCCAATCATTTGGTCGGCGCGGTCGTCGAATCTTGATATGTTCGATTATTTTAAGTGAAGTACATAAAAGGTATAGTAGAGCATATTCGTGATGGTACTGAAGCTGAGATACAAGAAACAATTCTTGCAGCTTTTAATATCATAGTGCCAGATGGCACACCGTGCGATGTACATACAACATTACTCGAAGAACGGAAATCTGTTTACGAAAATGAGGAAAATACTATTCTTGCGTTAAAATGCAAAAGTGGATTAGACCTACTGGGGATACCACTTAAAAAAAAGTGCGCCATGCTATCTACCGCAAGGTGGTGTGGAAATGATAGCGTTTTATCAATTCCTTGCCACAGAAATGACAAAAAATTATTTCGTGACTATAGCGATTCTGTCACACGCAAACAAAATTTTCAAGAATCAATTTGCAAATCTGACTCTGTACGAGCCTTCCCAGCAATATAATAATGAAATCCCAACAGGTTTCATAAGGAAATATAATTACTTTGAGAAAAAAAATGAGCATAACTGACCTAAAACTGCACTGATCTGCACTCATAAATGTATACCTTTATGGTGAAATTATGGCTAAAATATAACATGAATCGTGTTTTGATTGTGATATTCGTAATCAGAAAAGGCTCCTGAAGACTCGTACAGAGCTATTTTTTTTATAAAAAAAAGGCATAACAAAAATATTTCTGGTTTCCACGGGTCACTCCTGTCGACCCTTAAGTCATTGGATTTGATAAAGGCAAGAAACAAGCAACAAAACTTGGGAGGTGATTTTTTAAGGAGAAGGAAAATTTCACATTACGGTTCATGTTAACGACTATTTCTTCTTTTCTTCGTTCTATGCGCATGCGCTGTTGGCGTCGCTTGACTAGAGGTAGCGTTCTACCATACTAACATACAATTTAAATTTGCGCGCTATTTAAACGTAACTCAATATGATAATCAATATACCGTAGTAAGTATACAATGGGTAATTAAATTCGCGACAAGGGGGGGGGGGCCCTCGTGGTACATTCACCATTTCTCATATTATCATGCCTGAGCGCGTGAAATGTCAACTCTGTGATTAGTGAAATTTAATTGTGATTAATTTAAAAAGTATTATAACCTCGACATTTTTGTATTAAGATTCTCGTCATAAAATTATCTCAAAATACGTCCTTAAGAAAAAATGCGGTAGTTGTGAGACACCCTGTATATTATATACATTTATTACAGACAGACTCTACAACCAGTATTAGTGATTCTCAAGTATCCTTAGATATGTGTGGATCGAAAGAAGAAAATACAGCATCTCCTTTACCATCTATTTTACCAAAAAGAGAGAACAGTTTTGAAATCAAGCTCAATGAAGGAATGCAATTATCTATAAAAGATGTAAAAAGATTTGAAAGCAGGGAAGATGAATGGAGAAAATGTTTAGCGAAGAAGGAAGCAGAGCTATTGAAAAGGATGGAAAAAAAGGAGGAAGAATGGAAGGTTAGATTTATTGAAACGGAAAAAGAATGGAAAAGAGTTATAGAAAAACAGGAGAAGGAAAAACGAAGATTAGAAGAAGAGGTAAAAAAAATTAAAATGGCAAAACAATCGTTGGAACGTGATCTTAAAAACGCAGAAGGTATTTTCAGATAATAAAATTTATAAGGCATTATTTATTTGTCGATCTTGACTTTGACATATATTATTATTTTTTTCTAGAATATACAAAAAAGTTGTATAGCTTTCAAGAAGATGCAGAACAATTGAAAGGTTTTCAAACACAGGAGATGGCAAAAGTTAAACATCTTGTACGTTTCATTGAAGTAATAATTGATATGTAAATTATAATTTCTTGTCTACTTTGAACGGTCTATATTATCCCTGTGAAGCTAGCCCCGATTATTAAAAAAAAAATTTTTTTTGAGAGTTCTTAATAGATTTCCAATAGTTCCAGAGTTCCTGATAGGTTTAAGAAATAATTCTGGCCATTAAAGCCAAAATACGATTAAAATAATGGGGGACTAATTTCACGCAGCCCCCATTTTCGAAAAAAATCATCTTTGTTTAGAGTTCTGGATAGATTTTGAATAGTTCCAGAGTTTCTGATAGATTTAAGAAATACTTCCGTTTAGTTTCGAGCGATTATAGATGTCCATTTTCTAATTTAGAAGAGCAAAAAATTTTTTAAAGAGTTCTGTCGAGAGTTCTAGGTAGCCTTCGCAGAGTTCTATAAAATATCTTAATGAGAAAGTTGCGTAAAAATAATATTTTCAAAGTTATGGCTGTTTTTTAGGTATCAATTTCGGGTTTTTTAATGACGCTTTTTTTTTTACTTTTTCGAACGGAACTATTTCTTAAACCTATTAGGAACTATTCGAAATCTATCCAGAACTCTAAAAAAAAAGATGATTTTTTTTAAATGGGGGCTGCATGAAGTTAGCCCCTTATTTTTTAACCTCGTTTTTATGAATTTAATGGCCAAAACTATTTTTTAAACCTATCAGGAACACTGTAACTTGGAAATCTATTCAAAACTCTCAAAAAAAAATTTTTTTTTAATAAAGAGGGCTAGCTTTACAGAGGTGTCTATTTGCATCGAATGTTTATTTGTCAAAACGTAATTCTATAATTTCTTGCAGCAGTATATTATCTTATTAATTGAAACATCCTGGTTTATAATTGTAATGATTTTTTTAGTTATTAGCCAAAGAACAGGAAGTAGATGAAAAAACGCATCATTTGAAAACTGCTACAGCAGAAATAGAAAACTTGAAGACAGAAGTTTCCCGTCTTAGACGATACGAAGATGAATTAAACACTGTACAAGTAAGTAGATTAGTAGAAGTTTTTCATTTGTTCAAATGTATTTTTAATTAATTATTATTCATTTGAATGGCTCGTTAATCTCTCTCTCTCTCCTCTCTCTCTCTCTCTCTCTCTCTCTCTCTCTC